ATGTGATACATTGTGTGTCAGGAGTTAGTCATGTGATACATAGTGTGTCAGGAGCTAGTCATGTGATATATAGTGTGTGTCAAGAGCTAGTCATGTGATACATAGTGTGTCAGGAGCTAGTCATGTGATTATAGTGTGTGTCAAGAGCTAGTCATGTGAATATAATAGTGGCCATCTCCCAGGACTGTTAGCCACTCAGGGCCACGTGATCAGTAGCCAGCACTGGGAAGCACTGGGTGTAGTGTGAGTACCTTCAAGAACACGAGAGAGGATGAAGTAATTGTATATCTCCAGAGAGCTCATACCAGCCAGACTTTGAGAGGTCTGGAAACTGGATTTTCACTAATGTCATGTGCCAGATCATGCCCCAGTTCCTGCTCCTGTCTTGTCTTGTCTAATGCTGGTTCTACAAACCAGATCTGCTGGTTTGTGGTCTGGTCAAGCAGGCTGTTAGACGCTAAAGGTCGCAGTCTCACGTATGAGTCACAGCCGATTGATCAGGTATCCTTTAGAGGTGTTTATCAAGTTGTCGTCAGAATACAGTGAGAGGTCGGCCAGTTATGCTCCTTATGTTTAGAGAGCGCGCGTTGAAAAGTCTTGAGCACTACATGTTGAATTGTCACTCGGCTTTACTGCTGCGCCTCTGCTTTTCAAATGGGATATTTTGCACTGCCTGTCATTTCTTCCGGTCTCTAGGGTGGTATTTCGCTTAGCAAGTTTGGAACCAATTTCTCGTATATTTTCAAGTGCAAATTATTACACAACACACTCGCCTGGGCTCTAGAAAACAGATTTATACAGTTATAGCGGTCCAGTAGCATCGAAGTTTTCTTGAGGAGATTCAGGCAGTATAAGATCTCGGCTCTTTCTCCACCTTTGACTGGGTCTGTTAGTGTGCAACAATGTTTCATTGGTTGACATCTGTTTGAAAGGTTCATGTTATCCAACCTGTCCTTTTATGCGCAGTTGTGACAGCTACTTTATTGTGTACTCTAAAAGTAAGGTCTTCAGACATATTCTCAAATCTTTGATATCGTTTTTCGTTCTCTTAGTGTGATTTGACTGCGTTTTATATGCGATTTCCGTTTTCAAAATAACAGGCGTTTGAATGTGGCTTCGTTAAACTGATTGACACAAGTTTGGAGGTTTTCCAAGTCCTCTATATTGACTACTTTCATGAAAATCAAAGTAACGTATCATCTACAAAAGTACGATAAGTTACTATAGTTCGTGCCCTTGTCTATATCTGATATGAAAATGAGAGCAAGTACAGGTGCTCAAGCACAGTGCTCTGGGAAACTGAGTTTTTCCAACCTGTCCTCCTGCAAAGAACGTAGTTTTCCGCTCGTATGCGTTACCTACGACCAAAAATTGTCCTAGAAAATAGAAGCAGCTCACGGAAGTGACGTACTGTCCCGTTTTCTGTGTTGGGTCCTCTGGTAGGTTAGGATAAGGGCACTTTAAATTTACCGTTTTTTTGACGTTGGGAAACCTTAGAAGGACGGGCTAACTTTTCACCGTAAATGATCCGGATTTTACTTCGTTGACTATTACACTCTGGATTTTTTAAGTTAGAAGGGAGATGGATCTTTAACTTTCTATGCCAGTAACTCCTTTTGTGTGCAAGTTGTGCACGATAACAGCATGGTCGCACTTGTCGCAAGGTGCTACATAGTCCTCCCGGCTTGGCGCCACCTTCTATAATTACTTACTACTTGTCGAAGACTTTAGGGAAGTGAGAGACATCGGTGCGTTACTGTAAGTCAGTGTGGTAGTAGGCGAGCAGTTGTGAGAGGAGCGGCCTCTTGTACACCCATGAGAACCATTAATTCATAAGTTTCCTCTTCTAACCTTACCGAGTAAACCGGACGACTCAAATAGAAAACCAGACAGTACGTCACTTTTGTGAGTAGATTTCATTTCAAATTACGTCCACTTTGGCTATAGCGCGAGCGAAAAGCGACGTTATTTTTAAGAGGACGGGTTTGGTCTCCCAGGGTGAGGTAGCCGCTGTGGTGTCACCTGAGTATACCTGACTCAGTTTACAGTTTACATGTGGAGTAAACAGGATTGGGAGACTGGTTACCTGGAGCTGCCATCAAACCTCTTGATATACCCGTGAGCCAATCCGTTCTCTTGCTGTGCCACAACATACAAAATACTATGTCCTAACATAAGCAGAAACGTACAAACCCAAGCCACCCACCTAACCTAATCTAAAACGTAACATAGTAAACGATGATATTTGTGAGCTGTTACTGTCCACAGTACTTGATAAGTTGTACATTGGATACCTTAATGTACTTTCTGGCAAGACGAGTGGCACAGACAGCATAGTTAAACCACGTGTCTCTCTATGGCACTAATTACCCATTGACACAGACAAACAACTTTACCAAACTAAAGAAAACAAAAAATGGCTTGACAACTATTTAAAAATACATTGAAGGGTAACTAAGGCTGAAAATAAACACTTTGAAGAATAAACAAAATCTTGCGCTCACAAATGGTGCTGAGCAGCTGTTGGTGGGTGCTGAGCAGCTGTTGGTGGGTGCTGAGCAGCTGTTGGTGGGTGCTGAGCAGCTGTTGGTGGGTGCTGAGCAGCTGTTGGTGGTGCTGGCGTGAGCGGGTGCTGGCGTGAGCGGGTGCTGGCGTGAGCGGGTGCTGGAGGGTGCTGGCGTGAGCGGGTGCTGGCGTGAGCGGGTGCAGGCGTGAGCGGGTGCTGGCGTGAGCGGGTGCAGGCGTGAGCGGGTGCAGGCGTGAGCGGGTGCTGGCGTGAGCGGGTGGCAGGCGTGAGAGGGTGCTGGCGTGAGCGGGTGCAGGCGTGAGCGGGTGCAGGCGTGAGTGTCTTGCGCGGCACCACAAACTCTGCCCTCCTGTTCATGTATTCTGGAAGCATCGCTTCTCCTCTCCAGCGACGTAGAACAGAAACTCTGGATAAATGTTAATTTCTTTATGTATCGCAGTCATTTGCCGTCTCTCGCAAGCACAAGTAGGTGAGTATACACACACAATGGTCCAACAAATGGTTACTAAAGTTCAACCCGAGTAAATGTAAGATAATGAAATAGGCGGTGGAAACAGGAGGCCAGACACAGGATACAGAATAGGAGAGGAAGTCCTTCATGAAACGGACAGAGAGAAAGATCTAGGAGTTTGATATCACACCAACCTGTCTCCTGAAGCCCACATCAAAAGAATAACATCTGCGGCATATGCGAGGCTGGCTAACATCAGAACTGCCTTCAGGAACCTGTGTAAGGAATCATTCAGAACCTTGTATAAGCATATGTAAGACCAATCCTGGAGTATGCGGCCCCAGCATGGAGCCTGACTTTGTCAAGTATAGGACTAAGCTGGAAAAAGTTCAGAGGTATGCCACTAGACTAGTCCCAGAAATAAGAGGCATGAGTTAAGAGGGCGTGAAATGCACATCACGTCGCTGGAAGAACAGGCGAGCTCGGGGAGGCATGATCACTACCAACAAAACATTCTAAGAGGAATTGTTGGGTAGATAAAGATAAATTGTTTAATACGGGTGATACGCGAACAAGGGGACACAGGTGGAAACTGAGTACCACATGAGCCACAGGACGTTAGAAAGAACTTTTTCAGTGTCAGAGTAGTTAACAAATGGAATGCATTAAGTAGTGATGTGGTGGAGGCTGACTCCATTTCACCGTCTCATATGGAGATATGATAGAGCCCAGTAGGCCCAGGAATCTGTACACCAGTGTACAGGGGTATTCTGTTCCTTGTGCACTAGATGGAGCACCCTGCTGTGCCTGGAGAGAAGGGGAGGTGGGGGGGGGTTACTCCAACATCACTACTCTTCCCATCTCTGCTTCCTTGCAGAGCTGTCTGGCTGGTTTCCCTCGAGTATGATGAGTAGTTGGCGTCCGCCAAAATGGGTAGTTCCTGTAGCAGCCTTATAACAAAGTGTTACGTAATGAATAGGGCGGCTTGTTTAAACATTTAAATGGCTAGTGATTCTGTAATTTTTGTTGTATTTTTATCAATTATTTATTAATTTTTATTAAATGTTCTTATATATATTGTTGTTGTATTCCTAGGCATATAGTTGTTATTAGGAAAACATAATAATTGTATTTGTAACAATATTTACAATCGTTCTGTTGACCTTTTTTGGAGATAAACAATTGTCGTGTTTGTCCTATTAGGTGTGAACAATGGTCGCGTAAATGGGATGTGTTGCCAAGTTTTGCACCATTAACAACTCATCCTGATACTTGTGTGTGAGTTTACTCACCTAGTTGTGTCTGCAGGATCGAGCATTGTGACTCTTGGATCCCGCCTTTCCAGCTATCGGTTGTTTACAGCAATGACTCCTGTCCCATTTCCCTATCATACTAGTTTTAAATTATGAATAGTATTTGCTTCCACAACTGTTCCTTAAGTGCATTCCATTTCCCACTACTCTCACGCTAAAAGAAAACTTCCTAAATCTCTCATCGCGAACATCGACATGTAGGACTTACTCCTATAAACATGTCGTTAACATGTATTAGAAATAGAATTGGTCCCAGCACTGATCCTTGAGGTACTCCACTCGTTATGTTCGCCAGTCCGACTTCTCGACCTTTACCATAACTCTTTGGCTCCTTCCTGTTAGGTAGTTCCTTATCCATGCTAGGACCTTTCCCCCCCCCCCCCACCCCTGCCTGCCTCTCGAGTTTGAACAGCAGTCTCATGTGCGGTACTGTATCAAAGGCTTTTTGGCAGTCCAGAAATATGCAATCTGCCCAACCATCTCTGTCCTGTCTTATCCTCGTTATTTTATCATAGAATTTCAGAAGGTTTGTGTGTGTGTGTGTGTGTGTGTGTGTGTGTGTGTGTGTGTGTGGTGTGGTGTGTGTGTGTGTATGTTGTCGCCACCACCTCCACTAGTGGAGGTGGCGACAAGAAACTTTCTAAGCGAACATGTCAGGGAACCCACTAGGATGAGAGGAAACGATGACCAGCGAGACTCGACCTAGTCTTAACTCTGAATGACTCTGACATAAGTGAAATTGATGTGAGGCCCCAGTAGGAATGAGCGATCACAGTGTACTGACGTTGAGTATCTGGTCGAAGAAGGCTTAAGTACTCGAGAAAGGGAACTGAAAGCAAAAGGCTAGCATTCCGTAAGGAAAATTTTGAGGAGATAAGAAAATTCCTAACGGATGTAACATGGGAATCAGAGCTAAGGGAAAGATGGCCCAAGACATGATGGAATACATCACGCAGAAGTCCAAGGAGGCAGCAGAAAAGTTTATCCGGCCCAAAAGGTAGAAACTGAAATGCAGATGAGAAACCCATGGTTTAATCAGAGATGTAAGCTAGCTAAGGAACAAAGTAAAAGAGCATGGAGAAACTATAGAAATAACAGGACACTTGAGAGTAGAGAAGGTTACCAGAGACCCAGAAATGACTACGTCAGGGTGAGAAGAGAGGCAGAAGGGCAATATGAAAACGACATAGCAAGCAAGGCTAAGACCCCAACCCAAATTGCTGCACAGCCACATCAGGAGGAGACACACAGTTAAGGAACAGGTAATGAAACTGAGGATAGGGGCAGACAGATTCATTACAAATGACAAAGAAGTGTGCGAGGGAACTCAATATAAATTCCCGGAAGTCTTAACATTAAAGCAGGAGAGTTCCAGAGATAAGAGAAGGAATATTAATCAGGCACCACTAGAGGAATTTGAGATTACCAGTGGAGATGTAAGGAAGCTTTTGCTAGAGTTGGATGTGATAAAGGCTATAGGCCCAGATGAATATCACCATGGATACTAAAGGAAGGAGCAGAAGCACTGTGCCTGCCACTCCTCATGGTGTATAACAAATCGTTGGTAACCAGGTGAACTGCAAGAAATTTGGAAGGCGGCAAACGTAGTCCCGATATACAAGAATGGAATAGACAGGAGGCACTGAACTACAGACAGTGTCCCTAACTTGCATACCATGCAAGCTAATGGAGAAAATTGTGCAAATAAAGCTAGTCGAACATCTGAAGCGAAGGAACTTACTTGTGTCACAACACAACATTGTTTCATGGATGGCAACTCGTGCATAACAGGATGAATTGAATTCTACGATCAGGCAACAAGAATCAGGCAAGAAAGAGAGGGGTGGGCAGACTGCATATTTTTGGATTGCCAGAAAGCCTTTGACACAGTTGCCAACACCATAGACTAGTGCGGACAGCTGGAGGTGCAGGCAGAAGTGAAAGGAAGGTACTCCTTGGATAAGGGAGTACCTAAGTGACAGAAAGAACTGCGAGTCACTGTGAGGGGTGAGGTCTCAGACTGGTGAGATGTATCCTGTGTCTGGCCTCCTGGTTCACACCGCCTAGTTTCAATACTTTTGCATTTACCGGGTTGAACTTTAGCAGCTATTGTTGCACCATTCATTCAGTCTGTCTAGATCCTCATGTAGTCTCTTATCATCATCCTCTCTTTCAATCCTCCTCATAATTTTTTCATTATCAGCAACATTGAGAGAAATGAGTCTATACTCTCTGGTAGATCATTACATATATCAGGAACAGTATTGGTCCAAGGACTGAACCCTGCAAGGCTCCACTTATGATGTCTTGCCAATATGAGACCTCACCCCTCCACAGTGACTCCTCGTCTTCTGCTTCTGCTCGTTCCTGAAGCACTTCAGCAGTGCTTCTGCTCCTTCCTTTAGTATCCAGGGGGAGATTCCATCTGGACCTATAGCCTTTGTCCCATCCAACTCTAGTTAAAAACTTCCTTACTTCCCCACTGGTAATCAAAACTCTTTAGTGGTACCTGGTTTACTATTCCCTCTATTATCTCTGGAATTTCTCATATTTGCTTCCACAACCTGTTCCTTAAGTGAATTCCATTTTCCCCACTACTCTCACGCTAAAAGAAAACTTCCTAACATCTCTATGACTCATCTGAGTTTCCAGCTTCCATCCATGTTCCCCTCGTTCTGTTACTATTCCGTGGTGAACATTTCGTCTATGTCCACTCTGTCAATCCCCGAGTATTTTATATGTTCCTATCATGTCCCCCCCCTCTCCCCTTCTGTTTTCTAGTGTCGTAAGGCACAGTTCCTTCAGGCGCTCCTCATATCCCATCCCTCGTAACTCTGGGACGAGTCTCGTTGCAAACTTCTGAACCTTTTCCAGTTTCCTTGTATACTTCTTCAGATGGGGACTCCATGATGAGGCGGCATACTCTAAGACTGGCCTCCTGTAGGCAGTGTAAAGCGCCCCAAATGCCTCCTTAATTAGGTTTCTGAATGATGTTCTAACTTTTGCCAGTGTAGAGTACGGTGCTGTCGTTATCCAATTTATATGTGCCTCAGGAGATAGATTAGGCGTTACGTCCACGCCCAGGTCTCTTTCTCGCATCATCACAGGTAGGCAGTTCCCCTTCATTGTGTACTGTCCCTTTGGTCTCCTAACACTTAGTCCCATTTCCATAACTTTTATATTTCCTCGTGTTGAACTCCAGTAGCCATTTATCTGACCACTTCTGCAACCTGTTCAGGTCCTCTTGGAGCATCCTACAATCCTCATCTGTCACAACTCTTCATCAACTTTGCGTCATCCACGACATCAACATGTAGGACTCTACTCCTGTAAACATGTCGTTAACATGTATTAGAAATAGAATTGGTCCCAGCACTGATCCTTGAGGTACTCCACTCGTTACTGTTCGCCAGTCCGACTTCTCGACCCTTACCATAACTTTTTGGCTCCTTCCTGTTAGGTGTTCCTTATCCATGCTAGGACCTTTCCCCCCCCCCCCCCCCCCACCCCTACCTGCCTCTCAAGTTTGAACAGCAGTCTCATGTGCGGTACTGTATCAAGGCTTTTTGGCAGTCCAGAAATATGCAGTCTGCCCAACCAGACCACGT